CCCTCTGTGTGTGTGTGTGTGTGCGTGTGTGTATGAATGTCTGCTGCGCGACGGGTGTGGTGGATGTCTGTGTCTTATTCATTGTTCAACTTTTGCAAGCACCGAAGCTTACATGTTCAGTACACGTGAGCGATTATGTGTTTGTAGCGACTTCTGCTTCGGAGAACATCACCAACTACTGCTACTACAAGTCTACAGCCAGTGGGGCTGAAAGCGGTCCGGTGCGTCTTCAGTTCGCGGATAGGAGGTGGTTGGTGGTCAGCTGTAACCGGAATGAGCTGTGATTGATGAGCAGTGATGATGTCCAAGGTCATGAAAAGTTTACACCTGGCTAGCGAGTGCCAATGACCGAAGAATGCACCTTGATTCACCATCAGATTAAGCCATCATCATCACCTTGTCATCCAAAAAGTGGTACCTAGCTTTGCAAACACTACAGGCGCCTCCTTGTTTACAAAAGTCTATTGGTGGTGGTGGCGCTAGAAGGGTGACCACAAATGGGCTCACGAAGAAGTTACTATGACCCCCGGGTTACAAAACTGAAATACCCTGAAGTGTATCTGGTACTCCTTTGCCCTAAAGTCATGATACCATTCACACTACTGACAGTATATATTGCACCTGACACCATCATCAACTTTTGCATTCTGCTCTCCAATAAATCCATTGATAGTCGTCCCAGTGCATGACAGTGATGAGATATGACTTATTTCTGTTCAGAATACTCAACTGTATCGCACCATGTATTGCATTGTCTTAGAACAACGAACAACAGTACGCAACTGCCAGTATTTTCCTTTTTACCTGAAAATTGAATTTATCCTCCCCACCCCACCCCCAAAAAAGAAGAAATTCGTGATATTATAACCCGTGTTAGGAATAATCAATTTCAGGGAATACGGACAATTATTCTCACTCCTTTTTCCAGTGACTGTGTGACCGGGAGTCATGCATTGATAGTTTCTTTGCTCACCGAAATCTGTCCGGCGCCCTCGTTCGCCCATCTTTTATCGATCCACCAGTTTCCTTGAGCACACATTTTTGTTTTAAACTACCACAGTCAACGTACACACTGTTTTAATGGTGTTCTCGTGGCCCATTTCACTTAGATCAAATACAGCGAAATGATAAAAGGGGCCACCAGATGGGGACCTATCAGCAAGTTTGGGGAAATTCGCCATATCGCGATATCGTCCAATCAAACGGAGGCATTCCCCCATGCAGAAATGTGTAGTTGCTAGTCACCAGGCTCGGGAGTATGAAATCCGATAGTTTTGTGTTCAGCATACAGTAGTCGGTCATCCACTCTATGAAGAACTTTCGTTATTTTTCTATCCCACAAAACAATCAAACTGTTGCTCTTTTACAGATTTTACCGGAGATTTATGCCAGACACGCATCAATCTTTGTGCAACAGTGATCTGTCGGAACGGGGCGATTTGCGAGTCGGGGAAATGCCTTTGTCCACCCGGATTCGAGGGGCAGTTGTGTGAACGGGCAGTGTCTACCACATCAACCACCACCACTACTACTGCCATCACCACCAAATCAAATCGACCGATCGATTTGTCTGTGCGTTCGAAGAAAGATTCGACCGCCGATCCTTCAGTAATACCAGAGGTACTGTTTATTGTTTGACTATGGTATACATTTTCTTCTTATGGAAGTATTAAATTTGTTCTCAAGAATTGGTTCAGTACATGGAAATTGAAGCACTACAATGTATTAAACATCAGGTGACTATCATCCAGTTTTACTGCCCGAATAACATGTGAATTATTAATACTATCGGGATAGAGTTGTCACAACGAAACGGAAACTGCACAAAGCAGCAGCCATGGATTTCCACGGTAATGCGCAAATCTATCAACCGGTTTGAAGACCACAAACCCGGAACCTCACAGTTAGAACGCAAGTAATGAGCTCACTTGACTACTGGGTAAATTATTTCACCTGTTATACGCACGATATAGTAAACAACCCATCCTGCCTTGCCTGGTACTACTGTTATAATTCCACAAGGCAGTGCTCAGTTGAGGACAGTTATTTATTGCAAATAACGGTTAGGATATCACTAATTCAGCCTACGTATAACAGAAATCTCATGTGAAACATATCATCGCAGTTCCTGGCAGCACACATGGTAATAAATGGACCATTCAGTAGACAGCGATTTGCCCTCGCTGGTCTTGTTAATCTTTGACCGTTGAAAGAAATCATCAACTGTATTATTCCGCATACTACTCGCAAATGTAAGTAGTACTTCACAACACTACCATCTGACCTTGTTCACTTAAAAACTGATCTCCAGAGGTTCTGATACGGTCGAATGGATTCGCATCACCAATGAGACCCGACAAGGCGAGAATCGTTGTGTATAACCTCTGAACGCTGAACTCCCATTTCCGTTGCTGTGAAAACGACTATGATCCAATTTATTTACTCATGGCTAAGACTGTTGATGGTTCACTTGATTTGTTGTAGTTAACCCGGTTCTAGATAACTTTTCTCTCCCTCACGCGAACAATCTCCTTTCCGGATTAGTTGTTATTTCGTTTTTCACCCGTTGTTGTCAGCTTACCATTTCCAGTTGACTGTGGCAACACTCTCCAGTTCGAATTAATCGATTGGCTCACTTTCCAGGCTCTGTTTGTATCATTATTATCATCATTTAGTAATCAGGTTATAGCATGTATCTCGGCAGTTTTTGACTGTTTCAAGGATAATACATGTGCGGAGGGGCTGTGTTTATTTGGTGCTACATCCCGTGTTGAAAATAGGTGCACAATTTCTAGATCATCAACCACTCCGCTTCGAGTGAAGACGGGGAAAACGATGACTCGCATCGAAAGATCATCAAAATAAATTGAACTGATATCATTATCCCCGGTTTCGTGTCTTTTCGGTCACAAGTTTCACATTGGTCTTGTTCATTTTATGAATTCCAGTTCTCGAAAGACAAATAGGGACACACAAGTTAGTAGATCCTGTTGAATTTTGGTCGTCAAATAGTGAAGGGTCTTTCGTTGGGCGTGAGAAGACAAACTGACTGTTAGAATAGCGTTGACTAGAACGAGGAAAAATAAAACAAACAATAAAGGACAATGTGAGCATAGGAAAAAAGAACAGGTGTCCATGAGTACAACGAAAATAGAAGAACTGCAAGAACTGATGCACGAGTTTTCGTATGTCATCTACGGTCATTCTCGGAGAGCTTCGATATGGTCGGGGGTGGGTGTCTTGAGGTTCTGACTGGTCGCTCTTCCCTTGGACCTCGCGAAATGCTCCCATACGACCAAGCGTCTCAGATAGCTTCTGCTGAGGAAGCTCTCTACTGTCTTCCCATGGCG